AATCTGAGGGTGCAAAAAAATCAAAATATTGAGAAAATCATCTTTAAAGTTGTCCAAATGAAGTTCTTAGCAATGCATATTTCTAATCAAAAATTAAGTTTTGATATATTTACGGTAGGAAATTTACAAAATATCTTCATGGAACATGATCGTTGCTTAATGTCCTAATGATTTTTGGCATAAAAGAAAAATCTATAATTTTTACCCATACAATGTATTTTTGGTTATTGCTACAAATATACCCCAGCGACTTAAGACTGCTTTTGTGATCCAGGGTCACACACACACACACACACATGTATATATATATGTATACATACTGATTAGAAATATTATTTACTTGTATTATTTTATTAAATTATTAAGTAAAAATAAGAATATATTATTTGACAGTTACCAATATTAACCCCATTGGAATTAATAGAATTTAATTGCATTCCTTTAAATGTATAACTCATGATTGCTCAAAAACAATCCAAATTTATGAAACCTACCTATTTATTTATAACAAAACTTCATCAGAAAATCTTTTTAGAGTAATATTGATTCTGAAAAGTTTTCAAACAACAAAAACTCATTTTACTTGCATGAACTTTCCCTTTCAGATGAAAAAGCAAATAATTTTTCACGCTGCAGTTGTTAGGCGCACATATTCATTCATTCACAGAAAATTACATAGAAATGGCAGGTGACACATTGAATGAAATGTGAAATTTTGAAGTAGAAAAGCTAAAATGTTTATTTATTTATTTATTTTTTTAAATAATCTTGATTTACAACTTGGAAATAATCATGTTTTCCAGTATAGTGTTCATTCACATGACTGTTGTTATTGTGTTGTTGAGTACACAGCTGTGTCCGTCTGGGAAGCGCGTCTGGTTTTTGGTTTGTGTAATAATAGTGTAAAGACTCTGGGGAAATGAAATGAATAGACTTCAGCAGTGTTTGTGCCTCCCAGAGAAACTGGTGGTCTGTGTGATGCGTTTCATACTGGATGAGATCAGTGAAACCACACTTGAAATCTTCAATTGACACTCTTTTAAATTGATAATATAATCGGGAACTTTACAGTAAGGTCTCATTGTTAACATTAGTTAACTACATTAATTACTATGAACTAGCATTAAGTAATATATACGCTTCTGTTCATAATTTTGGGGTTGGTAAGATTTTTTAATGATTTTGAAAGTCTCTTCTGCTCATCAAGGCTGCATTTATTTGATCAAAATGTCAAAGCTGTTTTCTATATGACTATGTTGTAAAATATAATTGATTTCTGTGATCAAAGCTGAATTTTCAGCATCATTACTCCAGTCTTCAGTGTCACATGATCCTTCAGAAATCATTCTAATATGCTGATTTGCTGCTCAAGAAACATTTCTGGTTATTATCAATGTTGAAAACAGTTGTTCTCCCGAATATTTTTGTGGAAACTGTGATGCATTTTTTCAGAATTCTTTGATAAATACATATCGACAAATTGATAAGTTCTAAACAACAGCATTTATTTGAAATAGAAATCTTTTGTAACATTCTAAACAGGGGATTCCCTGTGAATGATGGGTTATGTGTGTATGTGAATACGCTCTGGCTCTGCTTTATCTTATCTAAATGATTGAACAGTCTGGCTTTGAGCTCTACTATTAATGGAGCAACTTCTGTGTGACTGTGAAGAGGTTTTGCAATGATTCAGTTAATATAACCGAGACGGTGAATATTTAGACTGCTTTAATTATTAACAGGTTCCTGGATAAAACATTCATACACCTTGTACATTTCTGGGAAGTTTTTTATTTACAGTTGTCATTTTCACAATCATTTTTGTTCTAGTGTCAGTTTAGTTTTTATTTTAAAAATTGTTGAAGGTTGCTAAACGGTAAGCACATTATGCATTTTGGATTTATTTGAATTAATTTGTTAGTTTTTTTTACATTTTAATCAGTTTTAGTCATTGTTTTCATAGGTAATCTTTGCAAAGATTTCCCAAAGTTTCAACAGATGTTTGCAAAAATTATTCAAGTTTCCTGAAAATAAATTCTCTTCTGCTCACCAAGGCTGCATTTATTTGATCAAAATGTCAAAGCTGTTTTCTATATGACTATGTTGTAAAATATAATTGATTTCTGTGATCAAAGCTGAATTTTCAGCATCATTACTCCAGTCTTCAGTGTCACATGATCCTTCAGAAATCATTCTAATATGCTGATTTGCTGCTCAAGAAACATTTCTGGTTATTATCAATGTTGAAAACAGTTGTTCTCCCGAATATTTTTGTGGAAACTGTGATGCATTTTTTCAGAATTCTTTGATAAATACATATCGACAAATTGATAAGTTCTAAACAACAGCATTTATTTGAAATAGAAATCTTTTGTAACATTCTAAACAGGGGATTCCCTGTGAATGATGGGTTATGTGTGTATGTGAATACGCTCTGGCTCTGCTTTATCTTATCTAAATGATTGAACAGTCTGGCTTTGAGCTCTACTATTAATGGAGCAACTTCTGTGTGACTGTGAAGAGGTTTTGCAATGATTCAGTTAATATAACCGAGACGGTGAATATTTAGACTGCTTTAATTATTAACAGGTTCCTGGATAAAACATTCATACACCTTGTACATTTCTGGGAAGTTTTTTATTTACAGTTGTCATTTTCATTTTCACAATCATTTTTGTTCTAGTGTCAGTTTAGTTTTTATTTAAAAAATTGTTGAAGGTTGCTAAACGGTAAGCACATTATGCATTTTGGATTTATTTTAATTAATTTGTTAGTTTTTTAACATTTTAATCAGTTTTAGTCATTGTTTTCATAGGTAATCTTTGCAAAGATTTCCCAAAGTTTCAACAGATGTTTGCAAAAATTATTCAAGTTTCCTGAAAATAAATACTTTATAGTAAATTTCTTTCCCCATATTATGTTCCATAAGAATAACAAATGAGTGATGTTTCTTCCTTGTCTCTTTTCTCCTGTTCCTCTCTTGCAGTCCACACGGGGACGCTGTTTGCCAATATATTTGGCTGTTTGTCGTGGTTCTGTGTAGATGCGTCGAGGGGAGTGGATTTTGGTCTGGCCATGCTCTGGTTCATGCTCTTCACACCCTGTTCATTTGTCTGCTGGTACAGACCTCTGTATGGAGCATTCAGGTACACACACCCACACACACACACACACACTACCTTTATGGAGAACTCAGAATATAACTGTTTTCTTTCTCTCTTTCTGTAGGAGTGACAGCTCTTTTAGGTTCTTTGTATTCTTCTTCATCTATATCTGCCAGTTTGGTGTCCATGTGCTGCAAGCCATTGGCATTACAGGTTGGGGAGCCAGGTGAGGAAACACTCACACTCACACACACACACACACACAAGAATCATAAATTAACCCGGACAAAAGGGCAAAAACACTGCTGGAGGTGATAAAAATGCCCTAGATATTTAAAAAGTTGCCCTTATTAAGCATTTCAATCTATTTTATTTTTTTTTACATTCTAACATTTTTATATTTTAAATGTATGTTTTTCTTAATGGGTGAATTAGTGATTTTTATTTTTTACTTTTTTATGAAGTGAGACCAGATTTAGTTTTTCATCAAAGATAAGCTCTTAAAACCTTTTTACAATTTTGTTTATTTATAGTTTAGTTATTATATATAGTTATTTTCCACTTGTTTCTCGACACCAATATAGTTGTGGTAGCTGACATTTTGTTAAAATATAACAAAATAAACAATATATTTTTTAGATTTTCTATTCTTGTTCTGTTTAATGATGCATTTAAGTGCTTCTAACACCAAATTTGTAGATTGTTGAATATGTAACTAAAATTAAATGCACATTTTATTGAAAAGAAACAAGTAAAATCACTAAAAGTGGGTAAAAAGCACTCCCAGCAGCTTCAAAACTTGAAACAATAAAAATTGTAAAATCTACTACAGTGTAGAGCTGTTTAATCAAACATAGTGACTGGATAATTGTTAAAAATGGTTTGTTTGTGTTTATTATATTAATGTATTTTGTGGCTTATTTACAGCTACATTTGAATCAATTTTTTAGGTCTGTGATAATTTTTCACTATGATGAATTTTGTCATTTAATTTGCTCGATGCTGATTTTTATGAGGGTAAAAAACAAAAACATTCCCATAAATGGCAAAAATGCAAATAAATATTTAAATCAAATCTAGGTGGCAATTAACGACACTTTATAAAAATGTTAATTTCTGACTCAGACACTTTCACTTTCCTTCCATTTCACATGATTTTTCCTTCCTGCATCACATTTACATTGTAACATTGTGAACGTTATGAAGACTGATCCATTGTTTGTGTTTGTAGTGGCTGGATCTCAGCGCTGACCGGGCTGAACACAAGTATTCCTGTCGGCATCATCATGATCCTGATTGCTGCCCTCTTCACCGCGTCGGCTGTCATCTCTCTCATCATGTTTAAAAAGGTGCTTCACCTTAAACAATTCCTCTGCTGCCCGGGGAGCCTTCAAAGAGCAGATCTGATTGGTCCAGAGAACTCCGACTCCGCCCATGCTACTTTGACCCCGCCCTCCGCATTCCTCCGAACTGTCTTTACAGCCAATCATCAGCTCTGACTGGCTGTTCAAGACCACACCCACTCTCTTTGACTTAATGCACTCCTGTGACTGACTGAGACCCCGCCCACAGCCCTCCCCTCCTGTCAATCAGCAGGTGTGCTCACCTGTTCTTTAGTTGGAGTGTGTGTGTGTGTGTGGAACGCCTGTCTGTGAGTAAACCGCCTAAAGATTCACTTTATATGTTCACATCACTGTTGGGTGTCAGTTTGTCCCTGTTAAACAACAGGAAGTGATGTCGTCCAGTGTCCTTTTATGGGATCCAAGGAAAAAAGAATGGTTATGCCCTCACAGGTCTGTCTTACTGATCATCTCCGCTTAAACACTCGTAAAATCACATGCCCAGGTCACAATTAACCTCAAAATTGAAAAAAAGAAACATCAACATTTACGATATTTAATCTCATTTTTTTTGACAGTTGAGCACATTTAAAAACTGATTATAATCAGTTTTGCGTTACATTCAGCTTAATTGTCACGAAAACGTCATAATGCAAATGCCATGTACGTGAAATAATTTTTTGCATTACAAAATGTTTGCTTTTCTGTAGATTTTGGGGTATAACATGACATTTTGCATGCAAAAATACGCTTTTCTTTGGATTTTGGGTTATAGTATTACCTTTTTCATAACAAACTTTTGCTTATCTTTGAATTTTGGGGCATAATATGACCTTTTGTGTAACAAAATGTGGCTTTTCATTGGATTTTGGGGTATACCATGACATTTTGCATAAATATTTAGCTCATCTTTGGCTACAACCTTTTGCAAAAACTAAATTTGGCTTTTCTTTCAATTTCAGGGTATAATACAACCTTTTGTGTAACAAAATTTGCCATTTTATTGGATTTCGAACTAAAAAGTGACATTTTGCATTAAAAATGGTCACTTTTCTTTGGATTTTGGGATATAACATGATATTTTGCATAAAAAAACAATAGACTTTTCTTTGGATTTTGTGGTGTAATATGACCTTTTCGTGGTGCAATTCGCTCCCAACTATCATTATAAACGCTTCATCCAGCAAGTGAGCCATCAGTATACAAAGACGTCCATCATATGTGACCGTAAACGCTCCACACGCAACTCAGAGGGTCTCTTTACCTGTAAATATATAAATATATATATATATATATACATATTAAAGTATATATATACATAAGTATTGACTTTTTCCTGCAAATGAGCCATCAGTACACGAAGACAGCCATTAGATGTGACCCTAAACGCTCCACACGCAACTCTTTACCTGTAAATATATATATATACATATTAAACCTGTATGATGACATAAAGTATTGACTGATTTTAAACACATGAATGATTTTGAGGCTTTCTGGTTTCTTTTAGTTCTTTCTAATAGAGTTATTTTGGAATGGAAACTAATTCTTAAAAGCGTGAACCACTCAGGATACGTTCCTGCACATGCATGGAAAGCTTGCCGAGCTCTCTATAGGATAAACTGTAAAACACTTTTAAAATCACAATTAAAATCTGTGCATCGCCCGCGAACATCGCTAACGACACGTGGCATTTGTCCTGCAGATGTGTGTAAGACTGTGCCGTGCTGGGCCGTCCTGATGTTGGATCCTGAATTACATTGTCCGTCGTTATTTGTCGGTTTGTCATTTGAAGCATAGAGCTTTTTTAATGATGTTTGTTTTCCTCTTTTTATCGACTGGAGCAGAGAACCTTGTAGCCTTGGTTACTGTCGCCAAGAGACAGCCAAGTTTTGCAATTATGGGATATGCATCAAGATGCAAATTGATCTTAACCTTTCAACAACACTCTGTGTGTGTGTGTGAGAGAACAAACTGTGTTCATCACCTACTTTCAGTATTGAGTTTGTTTGAAGTCTTTTTAATTTATAACTTTAAAGAAATAGTTCACCCAAAATGGTCATTTTTTGGGTGAAATATTTCAATATGTTCTTTAATTTGTTTAAAATGTCATTGAGTGTGTCATATTTGTGTTCTGAATTTTTTTTCAGTCGTGTACGGTTCTCTTTACACTGTGTGTGTGTGTGTGAGTTACTGCAAGTCGTTCTTCCTTTTATAAATAAATTTCAACAAATGGCACCTGAATGTTCCTCTATTTTTGTTCGTTTCAAAACACTTTCATTTAAAACAGGAAAAAACAACAACACAAGAATCTGTTGGGAGTGTGAGACAAACTCTTGTGTTTGGTGCAATGGATCGTGGCTTTAAGCTGTCTTTTTTAATTAGTGATGTTAGTTGACTTAGTTGAAACACTGATACGTGAGGAATGGATTGAAGAGAAAGCATCACTGGTTGTACTGCTACTACTACATTGACATTACTTAAAACAGACGCGAGGGATATTTGTATATTTTGTATAACTAAAGGAACGGTGGCCTGTCGTCCTGAATTTCATTGTACTGTACAAATGCACTCCTGTCTCGCTCCCTTAGTCGCATGTTGAGTAGTTTGAGTTTTGTATATTTATTGTATTAACACAAAAATAAAATAAAAAAACAACTACATAAACCATGTGTCTTATTTATTTTTGTGATGAATTTGTGATATTTTTTAATGAATTCTGTTATGTATGTGTATATCTGTAGTCTGTTATTGATTACAAATCACATCACGAAAAATCTAGTTAATCTGGATTACACATATTAGGTAATGTAGTCTGACTACTTTTTGATTACTTTTAGATTGTTATTGTGTACCATATTGATGGAAATATATATATACGTACATGTAAATGTACACACACACATATATATATATATGTGTGTGTGTA